GCACAAGGCTGGGGGACCACAGGCCGCTCCCCCCACCCCCCCCGGTGCCAGGCCTGGGGACCTCAGGCCACGCCTACCACCCGGCGGGGCTTGACAAGGGTGGGACCGGCCAGTTCTGTATCTAGCCCAATGAGGGGGGGGCTGGCTGGGTCTGGGTCTCGTGCGATTTTGAGGCGCACATGGGTGGGTGGGGACTTGACTCTGGGTCCCGTGGTGCACCCCAGAGTCTGACAGGAGGAAGATTTTCATATACATTTCACTAATTTTCTTTCATCTCTGACACTTCTATTATAGAGAAAGGGCAAATAGCAATATTAAAATATTTCCTCTAATTAATTCTCTTTTAATGTGCACAAATTTCATGCACTGGGCCACTAGTATTGTTAATATTAACAAAAAGAGAAGAGAGAAGTTAGTTTTAGTTCAGTCTCTTATTTTGTGATCTTGGGCTAGTTACTACATATATTGGAGCACCTCTTCTAAAATATGCCTAACATTAACTAGGCACTGTTATTGTTATGAATGTAAATAGTTGTTGGGTTACAAGTCATACAGTATTGATAAAGAAATAAAAGGATATCAACTGTGTGGCTTAGAGAACAATACAAAGCTCCTTACAGTATTTTAGTTTTCATTCATTTGTACTTGCGATCAATAGAGATACAGTCTTCTACTGTCATCTGGAACAGATTTGCAGTAAATGTTTGGTTGTTCTTTAGAGTTTCCCAATACTTACCCCCCCTCCCCGCCCCCAAATAATTACCTTACTTTTTAAGAATCTAGGTGTCATAATGAGAACAACACAGATTTGTTTCTTTATTCAAAAACATCAAAACTGCTGTTCTGGAACTGAAACATATTCCTAAAGACAGCTTGAAGACTAAACATACACCCACTGTGAGATTAGTTGTTCCTTTTCATTCGGCACGTGGACAGCACACAAGGTAACAAATATGTACTGGGTGAAACAATACAGACTGAAATCTTTTTTGAGGCAAGAAAGTCAGTACCTGTTCCAGTGTCATGAATGAGGCACAGGTGACATGGGTTAGCAACTCAGTTCTGGTGAAGTTTCATTGTATGGACTGGACTCTTTGGTTCACAAAATTAAGAATTAACTTTCCTAGTGAGAGCACTTTTGAATAGGAGAAACTGAGTAGTTGTTCAGGTGTTGTATTCACATGCCATGATCGTGTTTTTCTTAGTTCTCCTATTGCATAGAGCTAGGTAAATTTTGTACATAAAAAGAACTAGAAAACTTGACCTATGCCATTCAGGAGTCTATATACTCTTGAGAAGTACAAATATTTACCCTTTAGTAAACATTTTTAGGTGCATACTGTGCCAGGCACTTTTCTAGGTCTTGGGAATAAAGCAGTGAACAAATTAGAAAAAGTTTTTATAGAGATTACAATACATGCTAATGGGGAAAACAGTAACAAATACTCAAATAATGTCATAAGAAGTTATAAGAACTATGAAGAAAAATACAGGTAAGGGATAATGAGGGATTATGCCATTTAAAGATAAGTGATAAGTCCCTAGGGTTTGGCTAAGTGGACAGAGCTTCTGCCTGGTGACTGAAGGGTCCCAGGTTTGATTCCAGTCAAGGGCACATGCCTGGATTGCAGGCTCCTCCCCAGTAGGGGGTGTGCAGGAGCAAACAATCAATGATTCTCTCTCATCTTTGATGTTTCTATCTCTCCCTTTCTCTCTGAAATCAATAAAAATATATTAAATAAGTAAGTAAAGATAAGTGATAAGGAGAACATTTCTGAAGTGGTGATATTTGAGCAGAGATCTGAATGAAGTGCTATACATGGAGTTCAAGAAAAAAAGTTTATTTTATATATATATATATATAATATTGCACATACAGGGTATCCCAAAAAATGTATACACACTTTAATAGCAGGTAGCTCAATTTTGAAAATGAAATGTATTTTAATAAACACTGCCTTTATAATTATTTAAAGTGTGTGTACACATTTTTTTGGGACACCCTACATACAAAATGACATGAGACTGATCATGAAGTAACATATTAACCAGCTCAACCCTATGGTATACCTAGGTATTTGAGGCACAGATCAAATAAAATCAGTGATGAAGCCCATGATTGAATACCCAGCAAACCTCATCTATCTATCAACCATGCTCATAATTGAATGTTACTAAATTCAGCTTTATTTCCTTCTTGGTGGGGATAAATTATATGCCTTTGCATTGATGGGCATGTGACAAAACAGGAATTTATTTTATGGGAAGGGTACTCCATACAGTTTCTGCAAGAGCAAATAAATACCAGTATGACAATCACAATTTTTTTTTTTTAAATGGAGGCCAGCTTTTTTCTCCCAACTATATAGTTATTTCGGGATGCAGCGTGTTATGGGCTGAATTGTACCCTCCTCCCAATTCATATGTTGAAATTATAACCCCCAGAACCTCAGAATGTAACCTTATTTGGAAATAGGGTTGTTGTAGATTAGTTAGAATGAAGTCACAGTGGAATAGGATGGGCCCCTAATCCAGTATGATCTTCCAATATGATCTTATAAAAAGAACTAGAGCCCTAACTGGTTTGGCTCAGTGGATGGAGCGTCAGCCTGCGGACTGAAAGGTCCCAGGTTCGATTCCGGTCAAGGGCATGTATCTTGGTTGTGGGCACATCCCCAGTGGGGGGTGTTCAGGAGGCAGCTGATCAATGCTTCTAACTCTATCCCTCTACCTTCCTCTCTGTAAAAAAAAAAAAAAAAAAAAAAAAAAAATTAAAAAAATATATATATACTTAAAAAAAAAAAACTAGAGGCCGGTGCATGAAATTTGTGTATGGGAGTGTGTGTAGGTGTCCCTCAGCCCTGCCTGCGCCCTCATCCAATCTGGGACCCCTCGGGTAGGGTCCCTAGGCCTGGCCAGCGATCAGGGCCTATTGGGGACTGGCCCCACCCCCGCTGTTGCCACTGCTTGCCATCTGTGCCACACTAACCCCGCTCCCTCACCCACTGGTTGCCTCCCTCTGTGGGGGACAGGCGTGACTGCTTGGCTAGCCTGGGCTTCCCTCTGTGGGGCAATGGCAGGGGGTGTAGGGGGTAAGGGTGGGGTGGGGGTGGGCACCCGGGACCAATCGCATCGCACCCGCCTTGGCTGGCCCGGTGCCAGTGCGTGTCATAGTGTGGTCATCTGGAAGGTCATCCGGATGGCCATTCTGCTGTTCGGTTGATTTGCATATTACGCTTTTATTATTATAGATGCCAAGAGAAGGGACCTGCACACAGAGATGCCACCTGAAGACTGGAGTTATTGCTGCCACAAGCCAAGTGATGCCAGATCTCTAAGTAGCAGCTACGAGAGGCATGGAATAGTCTCCCTCATAGCTGTCCGAGGAACCAACTTGATCCTGGACTTCTAATATATATGCTTTTATTGATTTTAGAGAGTGGAAGGGAGAAGGGGAGAGAGATAGAAACATTGATGAAAGGGATCTGATGCCTCCTGCACGTCTCCTAAAGAGGATCAAACCCACAACCAGACATGTGCCCTGACTGGGACTCAAACCCATGACCTCTCAGTGCATGGGATGAAGCTCCACTGAATGACACAGGCCAGGGCTCTAATGTATTTCTATTGCTTAAGCCACCTCGTTTGTGGTATTTTGTTTCTGCAGCTCTAAAAGGAATACATGGTAGAAAGAACATGGACCTCGATTTTGATCTAACCTTTGCGTCATTGCATAGTACCATTATGAATTTTAATTAGAATCATTTCTATTTTTTGTTTTGAGGATTAAACAAGTTACCAAATGAGTGCCTGACACACAGTAGACCCTCAAAGTGATTACTTTCCCTTCTTAGTTTTGTGATACCTCATTATTTACAGTGACTTTTAGGGAACCTTAATTATATCAGAGAAGAGTTACTTCAATTAACAATATCCTGTTTCATCCAAATTGTGGTTGCTGTGTTGCAAAATAAACCCACACATTAGCATGTGAATTAGCTGAAGATACTGTGGTTCATAAAGCTTTTCATCAGTGACCATGCCCAGCAGAAGTCCTTGTGCACATTAGGTGACAAAACTGTTACTTGAGCCCTAACTGGTTTTGGCTCAGCGGATAGAGCCTCGGCCTGCTGACTGAAGGGTCGCAGGTTTGATTCCCGTCAAGGGCATGTACCTGGGTTGGGGCACATCCCCAGTAGGGGGTGTGCAGGAGGCAGCTCATCGATGTTTCTCTCTCATCGATGTTTCTAACTCTCTATCCCTCTCCCTTCCTCTCTGTAAAAAATCAATAAAAATATATTAAAAAAAATAAAAACTGTTATTTGAATGTTTTCTACAACCTCCAAGAGTGCGAAGGCCTTGGTTCATCTCCCATAACTGTTCCCATTGATAAGCTTTTATTATACTTAATGCAGACATCACTTAAGGGTTTAATTCTACATACTTTTTGGTTATTTGGGTCACCAAATATGTTAAATTTGTTTCTTGTCTAACAATCATATTAGTGCTTCCTGAATTTGAATGCTGAGCTTTAGTTTTTAAAGGAAGGAGCAAGAAAGGTGACCCAGATAGGAGAGCAATGCTTTCATGCTTTTGATTCACTGCGGCGAGCTTTTCACGCCCAGTGGGAGCTGAACTCATCTGCTATGCAGATTTCCCAGGCTGGCTCAAAGCCAGAAAGCCTTTCGCAGTGAGCAGCTGATTTCGTTTCTCCAGCGAGCCAATGGTGAACGGATACTTCAGAAAGGACGCTGGCTGAGTCACCTTCTGCAGATAAGCTGAAATATTAATAGCATCTCCGCCGGGCTCCGAGCAGCAACCAGCCTCACTCGCAACGTCTGCCCGCAGCCGGGCCGCAAGCGGCCCCGGCCCCAAGTCCAGGGGCCTGCGGGACGATGCACAAGAGCAAGCGATGCCGGGGCGCCGAGGAACCCGGCCGCGGTGAGTATCTGCGGCCCCACACCCAGGGCCTCCCCAGACCAGCGCCAACGTGGGAGCGAGGACCGGGTGATCATCGCGGACAAGGAACGCCATCACACCTCTGCCCAGGTCGCAAACGACCCCCGGTCCCCCAGCTATCGACCCCGTGGGCGGGGGCTGTGGAACGGGATTTCCGGCGAGGCGGAGGCGGGAGTTCCGATGAGGGGCGGAGTCCGAGCGAGATTTACGGCGGTGAGAGCGCGGGTCGACGCCAGGCGAGACTTCCGGCGGCACGGGCACCGGAGACCCGGCGGAATTTATGGGGGCTGGGCGGGACTTCCTGTGGCCCCGAAGTGGGCGTGGTCTCCGGGGTTTCCGGCGTTATGGGCCGGATTGCTGGCGTGCTTTGCGCGGGGCGAGGCCGGGACTTCCGACGGCGCCGGAAGTGCGGATCATCAGGTTGCCGGGTGGTGGAGGACGCGTTAGGGTAGAGACCGTCTCCGGTGTCTCCGCGTCGGTCCCTGGCGCCGTGTGGCTGGGAAGCGACGGTGGCAGCGCACGGCCCGGCAGGCAGGGCGGCGGGCTCGGCGGCGGCGTGATAGGTGAGTGCCGGGCCGCCATTTTTCTTCCGGGACGGATTGCCCCGGTGAAGCAGTCTGCGGCTTCGCCCTGGGGTAGAGGCATGCTTGTGGGGGCCCGGTCACTCCGCGCTCTCGAAGTTCTCCCTCGGACTTCATTGGCCCCATCCGTTCCCACGCGTCCCCCACTTCGTGCGCCAGCCCTGCCGCTGGTGAGGGTCGGGGAGGATGCGTTGAGCCCCGCAGCGGTGCCTGGCGTCGCCGTGCGCGTCGGTTACGGTTGCCTTTCCCGGGAGACCGCTCCCCGCTGCACGCGTGGCACGGGCAGGTGCGTTGAGGCCTGGAGAGCCGGCTCCCCCATAGCGCCCCTCGGCCCTGCCCTGGGAAGCTGTGCCGACGGGAGAGAGCGCTGCTGGTTTGGAAGTTTCCGTAATTCAGTTTTAAACGGCTGTCAAAATTTTAAGTCCAGTGCGCTGGTCTGCACTTTTGACCTTAGAGGTGCCCCCGAAATAACCCACTTGCGAATAAGCAAATTCCCCAGGTAGTCGCGCGCCCCGGGTCTCCTCTGGGCACCTTCTGCACGCTCCCTTCGCTGTCGAGGCGAGGGCACCCCCGGGTCAATGGCTGGTGAGCCCATCTCTTGGGAATTCCGACGGAGGTGGAGTAACGCAGTGACCGGCACCCCTCATTTCTGTTAGCACTGCGCAGGGAAACAGGAGGGCCTTGGACCCTGGCCACATTTAACAATAGCAGTGCGACTTTCGGCAAAGAACTTCCCCAGCCTCCCCATTCCTAGCCTCGTTTTGTTACTGAGAAGGTTGTGTTATGATAGGACCCTGCGAAGACCTCGACACAGGACGTCTTTGTTAAGTATGCTTCCTTCCTCGCTCTAAACTCCTTATCAGATGTTTAAATGGAATTTAAACTAACCCTGACCCATTGTCTGAGGTGAAGACAATACATACTTTAGCTCCTGGGCCAATAGCCTATTTTCCATGCAGGGTCTGCTGTGAAAGGAAGGAAGTGGTGCTGGGCCAGTGATGCCTGCTGGGAAAAGGTGGGACGTGAATGAAGAGATGAGTAAAAAAAAAAGTTTCAGGGAAAAAATTGTGACAGATTAACAACAGATTAAAACTAGAGGAACCTACAGACTTCGTTTTGGAAGGATGGTTAACTATAGCTGAAGAAATTCGAGGAAGAGGCAGAACCTGAATTTTCTGGAGAATTTAGTGTTAATATTCAAGGTACAGCATAGGCACATGAACTCACATCTGAGGTATGACTGCACAGACTTTAGAAAGTTACAGAAAAATAAATCACTTAGTATGGAAAAGCTCCATTTGATGCCAGATTTCAGAGAACCAAGCTTCTTCCAGATTTATAATTGACAATAGTTTGAATGTATGGTTGGAAGTTGATCAGTGGGGAAAGATTGCCAGTGTATGGACTGTTTAGTGAAGTGACAAATAAAAGTAGGCAAAGCGCAGAACACCATGTGGTTCATGGAGATGAGTGAGGGGTTAAAAGCTCTCAGTGAAAGACAGAAGGTGAGGGTTTTAAAATTAATTGTGAAGAAGAAGAATGCTAATTTCCTACTGAAGGTACAGTGGCTGAGGTGTGCTATTAGGAGAAAAGCACTGTGAGGTGAAAAGAAGGTTATTACTGAAATTTTTGCACATTGTATAACCAGTGATAGACTCTTGGTAGTGCATTAACCTCACAGTTATACTTAACAGAATGCTTCAGTTATTGTTCTTGAGAGAGGAAGGAGAAACCCTTTACTGTTTTTTTTTTTTTTTTTTTTTGATTTAAATGTCCATAGATAAAGTCTCCTTTTTTTCTCTGAGGTCTAAGCCAGGATAGCTTCCACAGGGTTTTGATTTTTTTATTTCTTTACAAAACACCTTATAAACTGCAAGGTAACTGGTAAGTTGCTGTTAATGATTTTGGAAACTGATATGCTTTATGAAGTTATTAATATGTGTAACACTGGTAAAGAGAATTATATTCACCTTCCTATATTTTCATGAAGAACATAATTTCTGGAGAAGATTCCATTAAATTAGTTTGGTTTCTTGGCCACTTCTTGTATATGGCACAGTTAAATAGTTTCTAAATGTTTCCATTAAAAAACACTAAGCTAGCCAGAACCGGTTTGGCTCAGTGGATAAAGCTTCGGCCTGCGGACTCAAGGGTCCCGGGTTCGGTTCCGGTCAGGGGCATGTGCCTTGGTTGCGGGCACGTCCCCAGTGGGGGGCGTGCGGGAGGCAGCTGATCCATGTTTCTCTCTCATGGATGTTTCTGGCTCTCTATCCCTCTCCCTTCCTCTCTGTAAGAAATCAATAAAATATATTAAAACAAAACAAAACAAAACACTAAGCTATAGTTCAAGGGGGGGATCATGTGAATTATTTCATAACATAGATTTACTAGTGATCTGGTGCACAGATTAGTGCATATTGAAAGGAAATTAATAAGAAGGTGACTGGCGGAGCAGGACTGGGCAAAACGGGCTAGACATCCCCTGGAGCCAACCTCCTGTGGTCTCTCTCCAGCGTCTGTGGAGTGAGTGGGGTCCCTCCGGCAGGTGGGGTCCCTCAGCCTGGCTTGCGGGGATCGGGCGAAACCGGCTCTCCAGTATTCCCCCAGGGGTCCCAGAGTGCAAGAGGGCACTCTGCAAAGTCACTGTTGTACAGTGTGTAGAACACAAACACACGTGGGCAGTAAACCAGATTCAGGGCCAACAGTGTCCCAGCAACAAATAACCGAAGGGTGAAGGTGGAATCGCACAGCCCTGTGAGGAATCAGGCTCCCTCTTCTCTGGTTTTGGGGCGTGTCATCCGAGAACCGCCACTGCCAAGTCACTTGCAGCTCAGCAGCTCCTGCTTTGAGTGTCTGCCCCCTGGTGGTTAGTGCGCATCATAGCGACTGTTTGGATAGTCGGACACTTAGCATATTAGCCTTTTATATATATAGATTATATTCAAATTTGTTGAATTTAATATCAATAGAACCTTTGTTTTCTAAATAAAATCCCACCAATTAAAGATTCTGCCATTGTGAATTTTTCTTTTTTTAAAGTATATTTTTATTGGTTTCAGAGGGAGAGGGAGAGAGAGAGAGAAAAACATCAATGATGAGAGAGAATCATCGATTGGGTGCCTCCTGCACACCCCTTACTGGGGATTGAGCCTGCAACCAGGGCATATGCTGTGATCGTGAATTGAATCGTAACCTCTTGGTTCATAGGTTGATGCTCAACCACTGAGTGACACCAGCCAGGCATGAGTTTTTCTTTATCCCTTTATTTCAACCATCTCTAATTTCTATAGCTCAAAATTTTCATATCTAAATTACATCAAAAGATTTGTCCTGTCATATTTCAGTCAAAAATAATGTTTCCATATGTCATTTAAGGGATCATCAGTTTTATTTTGTGATGCTTATTTCACCAGTAATCTGAATTATAAACTTTCCTTCTTGCAAAGAAAGTAATATGGCAAAGCTTTGGATCTAGAGTCATGATGGGGTCAAAATGCCCAGACCTCTGCCAGATTTTATAAATACAGTCTAGTTACACATGCCTCCTTGTATTTTAGATATTATTCAACGGCATTGCAAATATAATACGTTCAATAATTAGTTCTTTATTACTTCTCCAAATCTGCTGTCTTATATCAGTGTTCTGGCCTCCATTTCACCTACCTCTTTCCTCTGAAACTAGGAAACTCTTTGATAACCTCTTTCCTTCCTCACTTGCTCCTCCACTCCCCAAATCTGTTTATCTACTCTCTAATCTTAACTGTCATTATTTTATCACCTAGACTACTTCAGTAACTTCCTGACTAGCTTCCCCATTCCTAGTCATCTGTTATTTTCGTGTATTTTTCACACAGCAGCCAGACTGATTTTTAAAAAAAATATATTTTATTGATTTTTTACAGAGAGGAAGGGAGAGGGATAGAGAGCTAGAAACATCAATGAGAGAGAAACATCGATCAGCTGCCTCCTGCACACCCCCTACTGGGGATGTGCCCGCAACCAAGGTACATGCCCTTGACCGGAATTGAACCTGGGACCTTTCAGTCCGCAGGCTGATGCTCTATCCACTGAGCCAAACCGGTCAGGGCCATTCTCTCCTTTTTCCACTATGTTGTAGCCACATTACCTATTTTTAGTATCTCTGGTAAACCAATCTTATTCCCAGCTCAGGGCATTTGCATGCACTGTTCCTGTCCCTCTCTATTTTCCACATGGTTAATTTTTACTAATTATTCAGTCTCCATTTAAATGAGTTTCTTAGAATGACGTTCCTAACTTTAGCTAATATCTGGTCTCACAATATCTATATATTTCTTTCATAGTATGCATCATGATTTCTAATTGCTGTAATAAATTATGAGATCCTATGTTTAATATCTGGCTTAAAATCCAACTCTATGCATCCTGAAGGTAAGAACCAAGTTTGTTTTGTTCACTACTGTATTCCTAGTACCTAGATGATATACAACAAATATTTGATGAATGACTTTAATGAAAGTGCTGTTATTATCCCTGCTTTAAAGATGACAAAACTAAGCCTTAGGAAGGTGGTCAAGTTACTTGACAAAGGTTACTACACACTAATCAGTGATAGATGCATTCATTCATTGATTCACTTATGCAGTCATCAATTGTTTGAGGCTGTTTTTGTCAGGCAACATGGTAGGCTCTACAAATACAGTAGTGAACCCAAATAGCCACACTCCAGACTTCATGGTGTTGAAGGTGTAGGGGGGAAGCATTCATTGACTAAAACCACAAATAAGAGTACAAATGTGGGTAAGGGTCATGAAGCACTAAGACTACTGGTGGTTAAAGGAAACCTTTTTGAGGAGTTAACATTTAAGCTGGGGCTTTATGGCTTAATTCTGAGTGAAGTGTTTAACTTAACTGAATTATTTACATGCATTCCACTAAATATTTGAAGTGACAAAATGTATACTTCAATTTGTTATTGGTGTAATTAGTTAATAATATTAATA